CGGTACCATTTGTTCTGCGGACCGGTACCGGGCCGCGGACCGGGGTTTGGGGACCACTGGCCTAAGAGGTATGCTGGATCAGCTGAAAGGTTTTGTCTGTCTAGTCCAGCTTTCTGCCCCCAAAGTGGCTGACCAGTTACCCCAATGAGAAGCCTACAAATGGGCCATGTGCCCTCTCTTTTGTACTGCTCAGTAGCTGAGACACAGATGTGGTACCTCTGCTACTAGAGGTAATTGCTTAACAAGCAGGAATATTTAGTCCAGACACATCAGAAGAGTAGTGCTAGGTCAAACCAAAGGCTTGTCTAGCCCAGCATTTATTTATTTTTTTCACAACCTGGTCAACTAGTTGCCTCTGGAACACCCTTAAGTAGGACATGAGTACAACAGCACCTTGTTGCTCATGTTCCCAAGGAACAGAGATTGAGGGGCTCTGAAATTTTTTCCAGTACTGGAAAAATGGGAGCTAGTGTGGTGTAGTGGTTTGAGCACTGGACTACCACTCTGGAGACCAGGGTTCAAATCCTGGCTCAGCCATAGAAACCCTCTGGGTGACCTTGGGCAAGTCACACTCTCTCAGCCTCAGAAGAAGGTCACCCCTCTGAATGACCAACTCTCTCAGCCAAAGAATACCCTTTGATTGATTTGCCTTAGGGTCACCATAAGTCAGAAATTACATAAAAAAATCCCAATTCCAAGAGTTGGAGATGTGTCAAGTATTTTGAACAGAGGATGCCAAGAAGGCAGATAGATGGAAGTCCTGTGAGACCTTCCTCAGCAATGAGGGGCTTAAACTGAGATGATATAGCACACTTAAGAACCCTGTAGCAGCAAGCAGTGGTACATGATTGGACCTTTGGAATTACATGACTCCCAGGACCCGGTATCATGGGCCCTTTCACACCACACAATTCTAGCACATCCTGTGGAATCTGGGAAATTTCAGTTTAGAGAGAAATATTTAAACTTCTCAGCTGGAGAGCTCTAGTGCAAACTTTGGCCCTCCAAGTGTTTTGGACTTCAACTCCCACAAGACTAACCAGCTTGTGGCCAACAGTCAAGACTTCTGGGAACTGAAGTCCAAAACATCTGAAGGACCAAAGTTTGGGAAACATTGCGTAGTGCTTCACCAAACTACAAATCTCAGATGCAAATAGGATGCATGACAGTTACAGTGCTATATTTCTGTAATATGAAAGGG